CCCCCCTCTCTGCTGTAGAAGCCCGGAGCTGGGTTTGTGGACTTGAAATCCCCACAGGACTACTGTCAGTTTGATGGTATAGTACTACTGTTTGTGGCCATTTTTTTTAATTTATTTTTTTTCTTTTCGTTTTTTTTTTTTTGACACAAGAAAGTCGAGTTGTGGACTTTTCTTACTACTTCCCCTCTGTGAAAAGAATGATTGACTGGAAGTAAATAGGTACTAGGATCAATACCCGCAGAAGCGATGTCTCTTACGAGCGAGTGGCAAGAATGCAGGAAATCCAGGAATCAAAGTGTGTAAGTTGATGCTTTGGAAAGAAGGCGGGGGGAAAAAAAAACTGTTTACCCTGAATGGCATTCTTGCCATGGGACTTAAGCTTAACTATGAGGACTTAAGCTTAACTATGATGGTTACCCAAACTACTTCAACCAGTAGACTAAAGTTGATGAGTGATGACTTGCCACCGCTGGTGGTCGAATTGGAACAGGACTGTTACTTCTGAGAAAGCAATGAAGTCTTGGGGCAGATGGTCATTTCACTTTAGACCACCAGTACATTGGAGCCTCTTTCCCGATGCGGATTTCCCCTGCACGCCAAAAGAAAACGAACCAGTGTGGGCACAGTTTCTTTTCTTTCGTCCTTGTTGGTCCAGTAGTACTCCTCATCTGACAATCGCTGCGGTGTACCAACTCGCTGGAAGCTGTTGCCTCTGAAAGGTGCTGCCGGTATAAGAAGAAGCGAAAAGACAAAAGGGAAACAAAAAAGAATGTCTAAAGACTCTGCGCCCTGAACCCGTTGAACCCTCTGTACCCTCTGAACCCTCTGAACCCTCTGAACCCTCAGAACCCTCAGAACCCTCTAGCCCCTCTAGCCCCTCTAAACCGTGGAAATATCTAAGCCCTCAAGACGAAAAAAAACCCGTCCACACCGGCTAAAGCATCTAGTAACTCTCTAAACTGTGTACCTCCAAACCTTCTAAATCCGCCGAAGGTAAGCTCTGAACTCTGAACCCTCTAAATCCTGTAAACCCTCCAAACCCTCTAAAGAGTCTAAACCCCTTAAACCGCCAGGTCCTCGAGACTCTCCAAACCCTCTAAACCAACTAGACCCTCTAGACCTTCTAAACCTTCTAAACCGTCTTAAACCCTCTTACCCTCTTAAACCCTCTAAACCCGCTAAACCCTCTAAACCCTCTAAACCCTCTCGAGTCTAAACCCTCTAAACCCTCTAAACCCTGAGACTCCCCAAACCCTGAGAGCTTAACACTCACCGAGTCCATATCTCTTCACCCTCGTGACCGTACTCCTGGCGTTTTAGTGGTTCGAGTCCCAGGTCACCCTGTTGGCCGGTACCCCTGGCATTTCAGTTGTAGGATTCCTGGCTCTAGGGGTTTTTATCATGAATGCCCTGTGGCCTTTACTGTTATTCCTTAGCCCTGAGCACTCATCTCTTACGTCTGAACCCTGTGGCCTTCAATCCTGAAACTCGGCAACTGTTTGTCGAAAACCGACTCTTAACTGTAATCCATTATTCGCAGACGTTGAGGCTGGAATCTTGCAGCCTTGCTCTTATTGGAAATATGATCTTTGCACATATTAAGCAACCGGACTGCTGCCCCCGCGATTAGAAGGGGCTTCACTTTTTTTAATTTTAATGTTTTTAAACCACTAGTACCTCCGAGCCTGTTTTTGCCGACCCTGAATTTCACTGCGCTCCCGAGTTTGCCGAGCCTGGGTACCACTCTGTTTTCTTTCTGGTACTCTCAAAAAAAAAAGAAGAAGAAAAGTTGCGGCCGTGAACTCAGAAAAAATAAAAATAAAAAAACGAAACAAAGCTTTGGCCGTGATTGCAGTTGTATATATTCTTGGAAGTGGTAGTGTGTGAGTGTGCCCTCAGTGAGGGCATCTCAGCCCCGTGGCCAGGTTGTCAGATTCCAAAAAGAGAATAGAAGGGGAAAAAAACGGGCACACGGATCCGGCCGCGAAAATGGCTGGATACATTCCCCTTAGTACCAGTGTGATGAGTGTTACAATCCTCTGACAAAACACAGCTTGAGCAGATCACGTACGGCTCGAGCAATTCACGGATTCCCCCCTGCCTCATTGGCAGGGGACTTATAAGAAACACAAGCAAGAAAAAAAAGAAAAGAGTAACATCCAGAATGTGACCGCCTTACCGGTGAGGTGCATTTTGTGGAGGAAGACTCTGAGCACGGCCTCCAAGACTACCCTGCTCGACATCATAGCACTAGAGAGAGTATTTTCTTTTTTTCCTTTTTCTTTCACTCGCGGGCAATATAAAAATCTGATTTATGGGACAGTGCCGACCCTGTGTCCCACCCCCGATAACTTTGGGAACTGGCAAAACATCGTAATTTCCGAACACTGGTGGAGGTACTAGTGGTTTAAGGAGAAAAGAAGGAAATATGATCTTTGGTAGATGCATTCTTGTATCAGATCCTAAAGCACTTCAACCCTGTCTTTGAAGTCCACCATCGGGCCAGTAAAGTCCTTAATCATGAGAATGCCTGTTCCTTACTAATATGAGACCGCTGCAGCGGAGTATCGGCTGCAAAAGCACCGAACCGCCGCCGAAATCGAGGGAGACACACCGATCACCAACGGGCCCAGCTCAGTTGGTACACTCATGAACTGTTGAAATACAGACCTGTTTTCCCATCCAAGTGGTCTTAGATGAATGAAAATTCAATACCTTGGAATAGATGCGACCCGGTAGGTAGGTAGTTAGGGTGTTACATCTTCGACTCACACGGGTCCTACCGGACCCGACTTAGGGCCGGAGGGACACACCGGGGCCTAAAGGCCCGACCTTTGGGGTTACAGGCCCTAAAGGCCTGATTTTGGACTATCACCCATCGGGTAGGCCCAAACGACACTTCGTTTGGGCCTGGCGGCGCTCTTGAAGCTGCYGCCCGCCGATTGAGGCTGAACCGTCCATCTGGACGGTCCAGGGTCTGGCCTGGCCTCGCAGCATTGAGGCCAGACCATTGCCCACCGGTATAAGTACCGGTATCCGCCGCAGTAGGGGGATCGGCCTACTGGACCTCTACCGGCACGGCATGGTCAGTGCTAGTGCACTGTTTTGATGCACTAAACTTAGTGCAGGGGCTGAAGCAGGAGCGCAGCAGCGAGCGGAGCAGCAGCGGGCGACTGAGCTTGCACGGCGGTTATCACCGCCTGAGGTATCGGGAGCTTGGAGGGTCTCTCCTCCTCTCCCTCGCCAGTCCCCTCTCTCTCTCTCTCCTCTTCCTCCTTCTTCTTCTTCTTCTTCTTCTTCTTCTTCTTCTTCTTCTTCTTCTTCTTCTTCTTCTTCTTCTTCTTCTTCTTCTTCAGATTGGAGACTCTCCAGTTGGACAGAGATCAGAGTTGGA